GCGTGCGTGCGTGCGTGCGTGCGTGCGTGCGTGCGTGCGTGCGTGCGTGCGTGCGTGCGCGCGCGCATGCGTATAAGTGCGTGTGTATAAGTGGGTGAAACCGCCGAAATTGAATAGTCTTCGTCATCGACCATTGCCGATTTTTTTATTGATTTTTTTTAACCCTTTGCAGTACGGTGGCATCGTGAGATTTCACCTTTTCTATAACCATTTTTCTAAGTAGCTGAGGTAGTTTTCATTCAATTTTCGTATCTTTTTATGTTTTAATATCAGTTGTACATTCAAGAATAAGAATTGAAGTACAATAATTCGAAATCATGGTGATTTTGTTTATATAAATAAATGAATGTTGAAAAATTGCAATTTTTCTGGAGAAAATTTATTATCACCGAAAGTTCTCAGAGTTTCCACGCCAAAGTCCTCACTCAAGGATTTTTGGGATCGCTGATTATGAATCCGCGGTCAAATTTCCAAAATGCAAGATGACGTATCCAAAAATGTGGCGAATTCGAAATCCAAAAAACGATGCAAATGAAAATGTATTTCTGGAGGTTCTCGGGGTCACGAATCTGTGACCAGATTTTCAAAATCCAAGATGGCGGATACAATATGATGGACTCATTTGAAAAATCGTCAGATCTCAGCGAAATTCCAATACCGACATGGGAATTTCATTTTCATGAGTTTTGCATCGTTTTTCGAATTTGAGTCCGTCATATTGGATCCGCCATTTTGAATTACTGAATTTTAACCTCAAATTCGTAATCAGCGACTTCGAAAATCCCCGAGTACTAATTTTCAAGTCAATTGTAAGGAAAAATGTATGCTTCCTCCTATAAAGAGATATTATAGGATATTCCTCATATTAAAATATGTATTCAGTTATTTTTTTAGATTTTTATCTCTATTAGGTTCCTAGATGTAAATTTTTTAATATTTTCAATTTATTTTATTTCGTAAACGTTTAGTTGAATGTAACTTCTGTTTAAATTATTGAAAAATAAAAAATAATCACATCAAATTATTCATCTTGCAAT